AGCAAATAAAATTATCCAACTATTGTAATACAGTGGAACAGTAAAGCGCTACTCATAAAACACACACAGAAAAATAAAATAATACATTGTCGACTTAAGCGTACAGTGACACTAACGTCTTGAAACAAACATAAAAAATCGTTTTACAATAGGATGAAAAGTCTATAAGCTAATCGGCACAATAAATTCGGACACCTAGACTAAAATCTAAAACTACAAATAAAATTAATTGATCCAGAGGAATCATGGATCAGAGTTTCGGTAAAACATTACAGTATAATGGAACAAATTAGATATTATTCTAGTTAGTTGTTTTTTATCTTTATGTTTTCCAACATGTTTTGCTTACGTTTATAGTTTAAGGTTGTGTAAATAGATTATTTTCATACACGATATGTTTATAAAGTAAATAAAATAGCTTATTTAAATTTTTATCTTTTTGAAAAAGCAGTTTCATTTTGTTTCCCTTTCGTTAAGGTTACCTCTCCTCAGATTATACCTCAGATTTCTCCACAGATAATTGACTTGATTGCCTCAATCATATTCATAAATATTATACACTACGATGTATTTTACAATTGGAATAGCTCAAAGTTGTTGTGATGTGCATAGAAAAAATATAATGCATTCTTATTTGTTGCAAGTTCCTATCAACCATATACATTTTGCCATATAACTTGGTAATTTAGGGGGATGCCTCAATCACACTCATACTGATTATTCTACACATTGTATATTAACATTAGAATACCTCAAAGTTGAAGTGATGGACTTAGGAAAAAGGTTGTGCACTTTTTCCTGATGCGAGTTCCTATCAACCATATACATTTTGCCATATAACTTGGTAATTTAGAGGACTGCCTCAATCATACTTATACAGATTATTCTACACAATGTATATTACCATTAGAATACATCAAAGTTGATGTGATGGGCTTACCCATGTAGCACAGATGGTTGGGCCAACGTTGGCCAACTGTGGAACAGTTGGTCGATGGTTGGTTGGAGCTTCCACAACCAACCAACCGTTGTCCAACTGTATATCTCGTAGTTGGGCCAACCAATATTTACAACTGTGGACCAACATTGGTTCATTGTTAATGAAATACATTAATATGCATTGCTGGGTATCATACATCAAGCCAACCGTTGTCCAACCGTTTTTCACTCCATTGGACCAACAAAAGATACTTTTGTTGGACCAACGATGGTCCATAGTTGAGTTTTACACGACTTTCATTCTCTGGATCAACTAATATTCTTTAACTTATTTGCAACAATTTAAGGGGAAAGAGTAATTAATCATATAACAGTCAATTATAATAGCATTAATAATCTAACGGTAATTAAATAATCTATATTCAAATACCAGTATCCTCTCTAACTCCCCCCCCAAAAAATAATAACTACTTATGATGCCTTAACAGATTAACAGAATCATATTATACTGTGTGTAGTATCAAAATTGTTTTAAGTATTGCGACCATTGCAACTGTCGGCTACTCTTACACCACTTGAAAACTCTCTATATCAACAATCGCAGATAGCTCAGTGGTAAGGTAAGAGGCTCATAAGTCGAAGGACCCGGGTTCAAGACCCGTCTGAGCCAAAAAAATTTTGTTCTAGCTTTTTTTCAAAATTTGTTTTTATGAACTATTTAATCAATTTACTCAACTAATAATTATGCTTTTCATACTAAATCTTTAATATTTTGTGTTAAATAAAACGGTTGGTTGGATATCAGTTGTTATGGTTAGTTGGCCATCAGTATTTTTGGATAGTTGGGCCATTGTTGGACAATGGTTGGTTGGAAAACAGTTTAAAGAGGTGACATTTCTACCGTTGGCCAACTGTGTGGCTCCACAATTTACCAACGTTGGCCCAACCATCTGTGCTACATGGGTAGGAAAAAGATTGTGCACTTTTCCTGACGCAAATTCCTATAAACCATATAGATTTTGCCTTATAGCTTCGTAATTCACTGGACTACCGCAATCATACTCATACTGATTATTCTATACATTGTATATTAGCATTAGAATACCTCAAAGTTGATGTGATGGGCTTAGGAAAAAGATTGTGCACTTTTCCTGACGCAAATTCCTATCAACCATATAGATTTTGCCATATAACTTCGTAATTCACTGGACTGCCGCAATCATACTCATACTGATTATTCTAAACATTGTATATTACCATTAGAATACCTCAAAATTGATGTGATGGGCTTAGGAAAAAGATTGTGCACTTTTCCTGACGCAAATTCCTATCAACCATATAGATTTTGCCTTATAGCTTCGTAATTCACTGGACTGCCGCAATCATACTCATACTGATTATTCTAAACATTGTATATTACCATTAGAATACCTCAAAATTGATGTGATGGGCTTAGGAAAAAGATTGTGCACTTTTCCTGACGCAAATTCCTATCAACCATATAGATTTTGCCTTATAGCTTCGTAATTCACTGGACTGCCGCAATCATATTTACCCTGAGTATTCTACACATTGTATATTACCATTAGAATACCTCAAAGTTGATGTGATGGGCTCAGGAAAAAGATTGTGCACTTTTCCTGATGCGAGTTCCTATCAACCATATACATTTTACCATATAACTTCGTAATTCACTGGACTGCCGCAATCATACTCATACTGATTATTCTAAACATTGTATATTACCATTAGAATACCTCAAAGTTGATGTGATGGGCTTAGGAAAAAGATTGTGCACTTTTCCTAACGCAAATTCTTATCAACCATATAGATTTTGCCTTATAGCTTCGTAATTCACTGGACTGCCTCAATCATATTTATACTGAGTATTCTACACATTGTATATTAACATTAGAATACCTCAATGTTGATGTGATGGGCTTAGGAAAAAGATTGTGCACTTTTTCCTGATACGAGTTACTATCAACCATATAGATTTTGCCTTATAGCTTCGTAATTCACTGGACTGCCTCAATCATATTTATACTGAGTATTCTACACATTGTACATTACCATTAGAATACCTCAAAGTTGATGTGATGGGCTTAGGAAAAAGATTGTGCACTTTTTCCTGATACGAGTTACTATCAACCATATACATTTTGCCTTATAGCTTCGTAATTCACTGGACTGCCGCAATCATACTCATACTGATTATTCTAAACATTGTGTATTACCATTAGAATAGCTCAAAGTTGATGTGATGGGCTTGGGAAAAAGATTATGCACTTTTTATGTTCGTAGTTTTAATTGTTCGCGTTATGTTAAGCCTTAGCTACGTATAATGTACAGTACGGTCTCAAATATGCCTTTTAAAATACGTCAAATAATAAGTTTTAACTTGTATACACGTTTTATCAATGTATTATTGACATTATATAAATATAAAAACATCATTTCGCATCGTATTGTCATTGATTTGTGTTTCCGACATCCCTGCAAAACACGTTTGTGGCGTCCGCAGGCGTTCCAACCCACATCTATTACAAACCGAAACTTTTCCTGACGCAAATTCTTATCAACCATATAGATTTTGCCTTATAGCTTCGTAATTCACTGGACTGCCGCAATCATATTTACCCTGAGTATTCTACACATTGTATATTACCATTAGAATACCTCAAAGTTGATGTGATGGGCTCAGGAAAAAGATTGTGCACTTTTCCTGACGCAAATTCCTATCAACCATATAGATTTTGCCATATAACTTCGTAATTCACTGGACTGCCGCAATCATACTCATACTGATTATTCTATACATTGTATATTAGCATTAGAATACCTCAAAGTTGATGTGATGGGCTTAGGAAAAAGATTGTGCACTTTTCCTGATGCGAGTTCCTATCAACCATATAGATTTTGCCTTATAGCTTCGTAATTCACTGGACTGCCGCAATCATACTCATACTGATTATTCTATACATTGTATATTAGCATTAGAATACATCAAAGTTGATGTGATGGGCTTAGGAAAAAGATCGTGCACTTTTCCTGATGCGAGTTCCTATCAACCATATACATTTTGCCATATAACTTCGTTATTTACTGGACTGCCTCAACCATATTTATACTGAGTGTTCTACACATTGTATTTTACCATTATAATACCTCAAAGTTGATGTGATGGGCTTAGGAAAAAGATTGTGCACTTTTCCTGACGCAAATTCCTATCAACCATATAGATTTTGCCATATAACTTCGTAATTCACTGGACTGCCTCAATCATATTTATACTGAGTATTCTACACATTGCATATTACCATTAGAATACATCAAAGTTGATGTGATGGACTAAGGAAAAAGATTGTGCACTTTTTCCTGATACGAGTTCCTATCAACCATATAGATTTTGCCTTATAGCTTCGTAATTCACTGGACTGCCTCAATCATATTTATACTGAGTATTCTACACATTGTACATTACCATTAGAATACCTCAAAGTTGATGTGATGGGCTTAGGAAAAAGATTGTGCACTTTTTCCTGATACGAGTTACTATCAACCATATATACATTTTGCCTTATAGCTTCGTAATTCACTGGACTGCCTCAATCATATTTATACTGAGTATTCTACAAATTGTATATTACCATTAGAATAGCTCAAAGTTGATGTGATGGGCTTGGGAAAAAAAGATTATGCACTTTTTATGTTCGGAGTTTTAATTGATCGCGTTATGTTAAGCCATAGCTACGTATAATGTACAGTACGGTCTCAAATATGCCTTTTAAAATACGTCAATTAATTAGTTTTAACTTGTATACACGTTTTATCAATGTATAACTGACATTATATAAATATAAAAACATCATTTCGCACCGTATTGTCATTGAATTGTTTTTCCGACATCCCTGCAAAACACGTTTGTGGCGTCCGCAGGAGTACCAACCCACATCTATTACAAACCGAAAAAGCGCCGATGAAAAGAGCCGCTAACTTCACGACGGTGTCTCTGCGTGCTGCGCTGCGTCTGTTGTTCTGTGGCCGTTCTTTCCTTTCACCTTCGGGCTTCAGGCCTTCGCCTTTCTCTGCTGAGTGCTTGCTTACACTGGGCGACTTTCAGTTTCAGTGCTCGCTCAGTGCTGACTGCTGACTGATGTAAGTGATGTAGTGACTGTGACTGGTTGCCTCCTGAGTGCTGACTGCTGAGTGCTGTCGCTGTGTGCTGCCTGCTGAGCTGACAGTTGACGCAGGAGGAAGGGTGACAGTTCAGTCTCAGTGACTAGTGACAGTTGACTGACTGACAGTAAATAACGTTATCAGTGTTGCCAATCCACCACTTAGGTGGATTTATCCAAATACTAGGTTTACAAATCAATGTACAATAACTACTCGATATACAGGGTGTTTTTTTTAACTTGCATCTTTATTTATGTAAAAACCGCAATAGATATAAATATGCAGTTTGTGGGAATCATCTATTGACGTAGGGGGCCCAATTGTTTTGAATTCAACGTTACATTTACATTCCCCCCCTTTCCCCCCCTGCCGTCAAACCAACTTAATTTTTTTTAATAACAAGGTACCCCTTGTGACATATCAAATGAAAGAGCAAGAAAAAAGAAAATGTTTGGTGAAAAAATTGAAAATCGGCTCATAAATTTGTGAGATATTTCACCCCCTTTCTCTCCCTACCCTTAACTTAAAATTTTGAAATCGCGAGATACCCCTTGTGACATATCAAATGAAAGAGCACGAAAAAAGAAAATGTTATTGAAAAACATTTTGAAATTGGCTCATAAATTTGTGTGATATCCCCCCCCTCCCCGGAACTTATTTTTTTATAGCAAGGTACCCCTTGTGACATATCAAATAAAAGAGCATAAAAAAAGAAAATGTTTGGTGAAAAAATATTTGTATTTAGCTTACAAATTTGTGAGATATTTCACCCCCTTTCTCTCCCTTCCCTTAACTTAAAATTTTGGAATTGCGAGATATCCCTTGTGACATATCAATTGAAAGGGCATGTAAAAAGAAAATGTTTGGTGAAAATTTTTTAAACTAATGGGGTAGGGGGAGATAGGTATTGCAATATTTCACAAATATATCATCTGATTTCAAAAAAATTATTACCGTACCAGAAATGATTTTTTTCATACCCTTTCATTTGAAATGTCACAGGGGATTGACATTTCAACATTTAAAGTTGAGGGTAGGGAGAGAGAGGGGGGGGGGTGAAATATAAAAGATGTATAGCCAATTACAAAGATTCTTTCACCAAACATTTTCTTTTTACATGCCCTTTCAATTGATATGTCAAAAGGGATATCTCGCAATCCCAAATAAATTTTAAGTTAAGGGAAGGGTGAGAAAGGGGGTGAAATATCTCACAAATTTATAAGCTAAATACAAATATTTTCCAACAGTCACCCGACAAAGTTGACTTCCTTGTACTGTTTATAGTACAGAAAGCTGCTAATTGCTGCATATTTATACTTTTTCGAATTGTCGTACGATTTATACTTTGGCGCACATCAGGATTCCAACGAAACAACACAAAACAGCGTGGTTCTATTATGCACGTAATCATAGCCACCTCTAATACAGTAGTAGCATTGACTTTGAGATATAAAGTCAATGGTAGTAGATAGTAGATTTTTAAATATGGTAAAATAGACAAAATTGAAATCTATGTTGTTTATTTAGATAAAAATTACAACATACCGCAATATGTCTAAAACTAAAAATATACAAACATAATGTTTTTGGTTGCATTTATCGTATTGTAAGTACGATGAATGTGGAAATAGATGGACTTTTACATATTTCCTTTGTTAATTTGATAATCTACACTATTATATAAAAATCTCATGGTGTCTTTTTATACAGTATGTGTGTTATTCAACATAGTAAAAACTACTAGACAGACTGTGCTTAAATTTTACAAAATAAAACTACTATACCAAGAATGGTTATACAGTAGGACTAACTTATTGCCACTTCAATATTTGTAGAGACTTTGGGATTTGTAGAGACTAACATCTAACAATTTTTTCAAATAAAATTAATTTTAAATTTTTAATAGGAATATTATGTTTTAGTCTACCTGAGGAAACCATGTAAGTTAGCGACAACAAAATTTGAAGTTTTCATTTTGAAGGCACACTGACTAAACAATTTATTTTCTTTGAATAATTACTAAGAAAAACGTTTGCCATTTTGTAAACGATTTCAGAAGCTAGGCCTCTATATGGCTTTCCACAATATTAATAGAATTTTTTTATCACATCAACATTCAGACTGGATTCGGAGACTATGATGCTTTTATTGTTAGATGATGGTGTATATTTTTTTACTAGTAGGCCTACTTAACAGAATCACTGGCTTATTTCTTTGAAGTGGTATTTATTTAAGTTATTTTAATCACTTAACAACAGCATTTATCAATGAGATGGACTAATAAATAAGGAAATAGTACGGTATTACTACCTAAAACTTGCTTCTCGCGTCTATATTTACACGAATCGTTGTCTTATTCTTACATTTTTTACAAATTTAATCTAAGTTCATATTCGTAAAAAATGTTTCACACCAAAACGAGAATATTTTTAAGATGTCTAATTTGATCAAAGAATAGCAGAAAGCAATTGTTGCTTACGCGGCGGATCAAGTAATCTTAGAACACTGTATGTATTATTCATTTTTAATTGAGCTATCGTAATTATTCTTGCATCCAGGCACATCACATCTATCTGGCATGCTGTAGCAAGAAGTTTAATGTCATTACTAATGATTAAAGGTAGTAGAAACGCGATTATGTACGTAGAGTACGCGACTCCTCCATTCACTGTAATGGTAAAACGACCGAACGCCAAGACACTGATGCGACGTTGCCGCTTTTCACTCGCCGCGGCCTTGTATTAGGCCCTGTACACATGAGGGCGGCAGCCGCCGCGGTTGCCATTGCGCGGGAACCGCGGCGGTTGAAAGTACAAAGGAGCAAGTGGGACCGTTCACATGCAACCGCCCACTTCCAATCAACCGCAACAAACCGCGGCGGTCGTAGATTTCCCTTCGACCGCCGCGGCTCCTGTGCGGTTGAAGTTACTAGAGTTGGCATGAGAGCGTACACATGAGGGCGGTAGCCGCCGCGGTTGACTGCAGTTGCTACTATAGGATCACAGACATTGCGCACTTGCACTGTGGACATCGCTCCCTATCTCTCTCTCTCTCTCTCTCTCTCTCTCTCTCTCTCTCTCCTCTCTCTCTCTCTCTCTCTCTCTCTCTCTCTCTCTCTCTCTCTCTCTCTCTCTCTCTGTGTTGGTGAAGTGTGTAGCTGTGGCTGGAGTTGATGTAGTGCTCGTAGTGTTTACAATGGCCATGCGTGCTGCTGTGTAACCAGAAAACTTTGACACTGAACTGTTCTTTAAAGAAGTACAAAAATAAGATACGTTTAGGACATAAACTAAAAAAGATTGCGTTGCAAGAGTTAGTTGAGTTTTTTGCTGTAAAGAATTGTCAAGCGTTACGCGTTTAAAAGGAAAAAAATGGGTAAATACAGTACTGGCTGTTGAGCGACGGGACGGCCAATTCACACCGCAACCGCAGCGTAACCGCGGCTCCAACCGCTGCCATGTGTACGGTCCTAGGCGGCCGCCGCCGCCCTCATGTGTACAGGGCCTTAGAGGTGGCTATGACGTAATCCGTGTACGCTTGGAAATAGGTTGGCAACACTTAAAGATAATAATACTATGAGCAGCTGATTGACTAATATAACTACGATTTAACCTGTCATTTCGTGTTTATAGTTTCGGTATTTCTGAACTTTCTGGACTTTTCTTTTAAACGTTTTTAAAACATTCCTACGATCTTAATAAACAGGAAAATACCTTTAAAGCGTTTTTTTTTTAGACGCGTAAACCACTTCAAATTACAAAAACATACGGAACTATTTTCTCAAGTCGCGGAGTACATTGCTTGCCGAGGAAAAAATAGCGGAGTGATACGGACCGGGGACTACTTTCTCTAACTAGCGTCTAGACTGCCAGTGCAACTCCGAGGATCGTGGATCAGATCACCCCCCCACCACCGTACGCTTCCGAATCATGCCGGCGCATCAGCATAGCCTAACTGTTCGCGGAAAATTGATATCCCTATCAATGTCACTGTCAAAACGTACCGTTTATAGGTTAAATTTAAATTTAAAATAATTAAACTGTCATAAACCTAACCAAACTAACCAAACTTGCTGATAATGAAAATCTCGATTGAAGGTTTACTAATCGAAAAAAATAGTTCTGTTCTAAAAATAAAATTATAAATGTCTCAAATTCAAGTTTATAATTTTTAATGATAAAATTAAACTGTCATAACCTAAGTTACCAAACCAACCAAACTTGCTGATACGAAAAAAATTGTTGACAAAAAGTTAGTGCAACCAATACCTAGTTCTGTTATAAAAATAAAATTATAATAAATGTCTCAAATTCAATTTTATATTTTTTTAATTATAAAATTAAACTGTCAAAACCTAACCAAACCAACCAAACTTGCTGATATGAAAAAAATTTTTGACAAAAAGTTAGTGCTTCCAGCGGGATTCGAACTCGGCACCTTTCAATTATCAGCCCGACACGCTATCCACTACACCACCAAGGCTCATGGCATAAGCATGGGTCACATCTAGGCTGGCATCGGCGGCGAATTGAAAGAAGCCGCGACTGTCAGCTCAATGTGACCACAAAATTCGCAGCTGACACTGAGCTGACACAGCCTGGATTGGTGAGCCGGTGATGCTGGTGCCAGCTGCTGATCACCAGCGGCTGGCGAAAAGCGTGTGACCCGTGCTATAGCTCCGTATCGTTGCGGTAATGGTTGACGTCACGCCATCGGCACGGAGCGGTGGTGGGGGGTTTTCAGATCTGATCCACGATCCTCGGAGTTGCACTGGCTGCCTAGATGCTTATCTTTCACTAGGGCACCTCCTATTTGTGTTGCCAGCTGAACCTAAAAACGTGTTGTATAGTGTTTGAAAAACTAATTATTTATATGGTTTATAGTGACTGTAGGAAAAATATAATGTGTAACACGTGTGCAAAAGGCCTTTGATACACTCTAGATCATTCCGTAAACATTGCTCTCGTGTGCAGCAAAGTGCCACTTTGCTCACTAGTTACACAAATAGGCGCCACCAAACATTTTCTTTTCTCAAGCTCTTTTATTTGATTTGTCACAAGGGCCCCCTCCCCGTAACTTAATTTTTTTTTAATTTGTTATAAAAAAATTAATTTCCGGGGAGGGGGGGGATATTTTACAAATTTATGTGCCAATTTTAAAATGTTTTTCACTAAACATTTTCTTTTTTCGTGCTCTTTCATTTGATATGTCACAAGGGATATCTCGCGATTTCAAAATTTTAAGTTAAGGGTAGGGAGAGAAAGGGGGTGAAATATCTCACAAATTTTTGAGCCGATTTTCAATTTTTTTTCACCAAACATTTTCTTTTTTCATGCTCTTTCATTTGATATGTCACAAAAAGGGGTACCTTGCTATTTAAAAAAATTAAGTTTGGGGGCAGGGGGGAAAGGGAGGGAACGTGAATGTAACGTTGAATTCAAAACAATTGGGCCCCCTACGTCAATAGATGATTCCCGCAAACTGCATATTTCTATCTATTGCGGTTTTTACATAAATAAAGATGCAAGTTTAAAACAAAACACCCTGTATAATGTAGAGTTATTTATACATCGATGGGTGTACAATGCAGCCGTCTGCTTGAAATATTTAGCGGAGCTAACATATTAATCCAAAAGTCAAAGGTACGTCGAGTTCACATAAATGGAATGGCTATTTGGATTATCTGAGGGCAATTGTGCATCAGCCTTATTCCGGCGTCCGACGACCATATAATTATTGGATGTCCATTTTGTATACTCAATGATATTAATCCGATTGTTCTTCCCCTTTTCTCTGTACCTACTGTCTTTGTTATGAAGTCCAGTCAATAAATGCAACAACCCCAAGCCCTTAAAATGTGACGTAGAATGCGTGAGTAGGAGCTAGGTGACTAAACGATTCCTTCAGAAACTTTGTTCACGGAATAGGCTGTTATCATACCAAAAGTCCTGACTGGTGATGAGCGGGGGGAGGGTACGAATTTGGGTTTTTCGCTTTTATCACGAAAACAGTGCATAGTGCATAGGAGGGAATTGTTTTCGGTTAATATAATGAAGTTCTTAAATGGGTCGCCGGAATTTTATCCCCCTGGAATTTTACCCCCTGGGCAAAGCTGACGTCACTATGACGTAGTAACCTGAGCGCTCAAAAGTTTGTTCGCGGGCGGAATTTTACCCCCGCGGATTTGGAAGTCTAATGAAAATAGACAGAGTGTGATTAATTAGATTAGCAATAAAACCTGGAATTTTACCTATTTACCTAATTTTACCCCCTGTCCATATAACTATAGCGTTTAGACAATTGAAGATTTACGGAATTTTACCCCCGGATTTTTACCCCCCCGGAATTTTACCCCCTGGCCGGATTTAGAAATTATTAAGAATGATTGATTTTCTTATTTTTATTTTTATTTAATTGTAATTTTATTGTTTTTATTTATTTTGTAATCTCAACTAAGTAAACAGAATTCACTGTTTAATTTTGATCATATTAATTAACAGTTGGCTTCAATGATCGAATCCTGATACTCGAATCTCAAAATTGAAATTAAAAACCTGTTCGATTATAGTTGATGTTAGAAATAAATTAAGATAGGCTACGTAACAATAAAATGTTTACTATTAAATTCAAACTAAATAAAGATCATTCTCACTAATTTATATATCTGGCCAGGAGGTAAAATTCTGGGGGTAAAAATCCGGGCCGTACATTTTGAGCTGACCTTATGAAGGGGGTAAAAGTCCGGGGGTAAAATTCCGTCCCCTACACTCTAGGTTTTATAATTTGATGTGTTCTGATTAAATTCACAACTGTGAAAATATACGTTTAATTCAGCGTTTAATCCATCGAACTTATATCGCGAAACTCAAATGTTTTGAGCCAACCAAACAAGATATTCTTCTGTCTCAAATGAACATTGTAGTCGATGGAGAATTTATACTGCACTGAGTTATAGACCGTACTGTCCTGTTGATTGCTTCCACTCCTGCGACCCAAGATATCTTGATGCTGAAACCCCCGGACGAGAGAAATCCAAAACAATGGTATTGTCCACCCAAGAGATGCAGCACCGTGGATTTGAACACATCATGTTCCTTCATTGATTTACCGGATGCAACACAATTTCTGCTACTTTCAGGAGAAGCAAGTTGTGCTTCTTTAAAATGTACTTGGAGTCAGAAATCATTCAGCAAGCAGCAATGACATTTTTTAACAACTGCTTTACTTACAACCATCAGGTTGAAAAGGCTGGGGAGATGTGTTTTCTGAAGTGGTAAGGCGCCAAAAAACAAACCTCCCTTAACCAGTACCGCTTCCAATCGAGATATATGAAGCCTGTGGCAAATATGAAGCCTGAAATCATAGCTTCCTACCTACAACAGAAAATGCAGCTAAACAGCACTCTCGGTGTATAGCTACCAACCACCAAGTACAGCAGTGGCCCGGTAATGAGCTGCCCCCTCAAGATTGGGGTGGAAAAGTGTAGGAGACACCCTGGTGGCTTTGCTGGTGATGTACAGTTGTTTGTTTATGTTTATGATCAATACCGTTTCTGTTAACACCTTGGAATAGGAATGTATTTGTGATTAATTCTTGTTAAGTTCGAGAATGATATTTGTTATTTATCACATACAGAACAAGTTTTAAGTTATTTATTTGGTGTATTTTGAGCAGTGTTCCATTAGGTTTATCTTGGAAACTGAAACTAAACATGTTTAATGCTGTAGAAGAAAGTCCATCGCACTGTACGATTTACAATTTACACTGTTCATTCTGGTTACGGTTTACTTTACAGTATAAGAATATTCAGTGGTGATTACCTGAAGAATTTAACAATTCCAGCATTTTAGTGATGTATCAAAGAGATGCAATCAGCTTGGCGTTGCATAACACATATTAGTACTATCAATTACAACTATGCTACTTTAGTTATGATGATTGTATTACTTTTGACTTTCAGTGCTATTATTAGTTATGTATTTTGTGTGACCACAACAAATATTGAGCAAAACTTGCAAATAATCCAGGACAAAA